CTGCTAAATTAGGGACGGCTAGTGCAGATAGCTCTCGTGTAGTTTTGCGCGAAATTCTAAACAAACAAACTAACTAGTAAACACCCCCAGTTAATTGTGGATGTTACTGGGATCAACTGAATTCACTGAAGGGGGGATTGCCCACTCAGCTTCATCAGAGTCCAGCTTGCTAGCACTTTTCCAGGCGGATCCAAAAAGGCTTTCATGACACTCGTAATAAACTACCTGCCATACATCACTCTGTACTTTACCCGTTTCCACCTCCCCTGACGAGGATTGGATTTTGGGAGGCGAGTTTTGATGTACCACTAACTTAATGTAAAATGCCATTTGTTATAACAATAACAGAATATTATTTTTAGAATTCAAATCAATTTAACATAGTGGCTTCAATTGATAATTGCTCAGTACTTCACCTGTGAATCATTCTATATTGGGTTGTTCTTTTTATAATTAGACTTATACCCTACAAGTGTCTCTCTTTTTATGTCAATACATTAATGGTATGGATATGTCGGTGTGAATGTTTTTCAGGATATATGATACTGCACACTTATATTACGAGAACTCATTAGACATAAATGTCCCCAAAAGTTGTCAAACGTATCACCTAATAACTAGTTTACTAAGAATTAAACTCGCAAATAAAGATTTAAATTCTAAATTGAAGTTCAATGATCTTTTCTTCATGCTGGAATTGGGAAATAAAAGACACTCCTTTATGATTTACAATATAGCTTAAATTACCCCAAGAACATTTCAGATGGCCAGAATATGTACACATTACAAATTATTTGGAAACGCACAATATAATTTAAAAAAATTAATTTCGAACAGCTAAATAAACGCTATTTGATAAGCCAAACTGCAATAGTAGTTTTCTACAAAATCCAGATAACATTACTAATTTGTCCAATTACCAGCTCAATAATATAGATAAATAGTTTTAGCCAGAAGCCTATCCTTTGCTCTGACACCTTCTAAACTTCATCCAATGGATTTCCTTATCCCTTTTGAGACAATTTAGGCCAAAAATGATCTTACATTTGATAATATTAGGATCGATAGCAGCATTACTCTTGATTCTCTCCATAACTACAATCAACACAAACAGTTTACTCAGCAAGGATGAGATGTGTGCTTTAACCAAATATAATATAATAAGGACATAATCATTACTAAGCCTGATAGAGGTAACGGGGTT